TTGACCTCGTGATCCACCCGCCTCGGCCTCCCAAAGTGCTGGGATTACAGGCTTGAGCCACCGCGCCCGGCCCCTCAGCCTGTCAATTTCTATATCACACCTTCCACAAATCTGAAATGATCAGATGCAGTTGCTGGCTTCCTTGCAGATCAACTCAGCAAAGCTGACTTTGTTGATCCTGTTCATCTTTATAAGCCTAACTTCGCGTCTGGCCCTCGGTAGTCAAGATTTAAATGGATTTAAGTGAATGCATCGGTGAGGACAGACTGAAGCTGAGGGTTGGAGGTGGGTTTGTGGACAGACTTCCTGCTAGAGTTGGAGATGCCAAGTGAAGTGAGGGCTGGGGCTGGAGCTGGTGCCGGTGTGGCTGGGTGTGGGAATCAGGGTTTTTTTTTTTTTTTTTTACTCTGTTGCCCAGGCTGGAGTGCAGTATCATGATCTCAGTTTACTGCAACCTCTGCCTCCCGGGTTCAACCAATTCTTCCTGCCTCAGCCTCCCAAGTAGCTGTGATTACAGGCACCTGCCACTGCACCTGGTTAATTTTTGTATTTTTAGTAGACATGGGGTTTCACCATCTTGGCCAGGCTGGTCTTGAACTCCTGACCTTGTGATCCACCCATCTAGGCCTCCCAATGTGCTGGGATTACATGCATGAGCCACCACGCCTGGCCGTCAGAGTTACTTTTAAAGGCTAGGGACAGGGTGTGGTGGCTCACACCTATAATCCCAGCACTTTGGGAGGCCAAGGCTGGGGGATTGCTTGAGCCCAGGAGATCAGGACCAGCCTGGTAACATAGCAAGACCCCATAGCTACAAAAAAAAATTTTTTTTTAATTAGCCAGGCATGGTGGTGCACTGTAGTCCTAGCTACTAAGGGAGCTGAGGCAGGAGGATCACTTGAGCCTGGGAGGTGGAGGCTGCAGTGAGCCATGATCCCACCACTGGGCTCCAGCCTGGGCAACAGAGAGAGACTTGTCTCAAAACTTAAAAAAAAAAAAAAGTAATAAATAAAACCAGACTGGGTCCAGACTGGAATGCAATGGCTCAATCTCAGCTCACCGCAAACTCCACCTCCCAGGTTCAAGAGATTCTCCTGCCTCAGCCTCCCGAGTAGCTGGGACTACAGGCTTGCGCCGCCATGCCCGGCAAATTTTTGTATTTTTAGTAGAGACAGGGTTTCACCATGTTGGTCAGGCTGGTCTTGAACTCCTGACTTTGTGATCTGCCTGCCTCAGCCTCCCAAAGTGCTGGGATTACAGGTGTGAGCCACCATGTCCAGCCTCCACCCCCGCCTTTTTAAAAATTATTTTTATTATTTTAATTTAGAGACAGGGTCTCACTATGTTGCCCAGGCTGGTTTCAAACTCCTGGGCTTGAGTGATACTCCTGGTCTGGCCTCCCAAAGTGCTGGGATTACAGGCGTGAGCCACCACGCTCAGACCCTTAAAATTTTTTTTTAATTGATATACAATTCGCCTACATAAAATTCACCCTTTTCAAGGAGAGTCCAGTAGGTTTTAGTATATTCACAAGACTGCAGCAAGCGTCACCACTATCTAATTCCAAAAGATTCTCAACACCCCAAAAAGAAACCTGGTACCCATTAGCAGTGACTTCTCATTCCCCCGCCCCTAACCCCTGGCGACCATTAATCTACTTTCTGTCTATGGATTTGCCAATTCTAATATTTCATACGAATGGAAGCATACCATAAGTGGTCTTTTGTGTCTGTTTCTTTCGCTAAGCATGCTGTTTTCAAGGTTCATCCACTTTGCAGCCTCCCCATTGTAAGCCTCAGCTCCTCCCCGCATCTGGGAAATGGGGTGCTGACGCTGCTGGGGAGGGAGGGCAAGGGTGGACCCTGGACTGTGTGGGGCGCGTGCAGGGAGGTGATCGGCTGCCCCCGAGTGGTGCATGGAAGAACTGCAGCTCTCCGCGCCAGGGCGGGGAAGGGGTTGCCGGCGCTCAGCCCCTCTAGCCCCAAGACCCCCACTTTCACCATGCAGCGTCCCTGGGATCACGGTACTTCCAGATCACTACCCTGGAACTCCTCCCTCCGTGCCACGGTCCCTGAGACTCCTCGGGCCTTATTTGCCAAATAACAATAATAATGTCCCCACAGATAAAGTTTGAATCTGGCTCCCTGTGAAGCACTTTATTTAGAGATTCTCATTGATTTGTTAGCAATAACAAATTAAAATAACAAATAAATATAAACAAATTAACAAACAAAAATAGTAGCAGCCTGAGGTTGCTGCTGTGATGACTCAGAGACAGGAAACCCCCAGTGGTTGAGAGAGGGTCCAAGTTCTGGAGTTTGGGTGCGCTTGGATTCAAAGCATATAGCCGTGCCACTGATTTGCTGTGTGACCTTCATGGTGCCACGTTTCTCCCTTCCTTGGGCCTCTGTTTCCTCACCTGCAAATGGGATTGATAAAGATGCTCCCTACCTCCTGGGGTGGCAGAAAGAAGTGCTCAGAGCCTGGCACAAAGGCAGCTCCCATGAGTCTATGTAGGCGATAGTACCAGTCAGTGCTGTGCTGGTGACTTTCACCACCAGCTCTCTGCCGGGTGCCAGGTCATCCCAGCACTTTGGGAGGCCGAAGAGGGGGGATCGCTGGAGCCTGAGAGTTGGTGATCAGCCTGGGCAACATGGCTACAAAAAATTAGCTCTGTGTGGTGGTGCACACCTGTAGTCCCAGCTACTTGGTGGGGCTGAGCTGGGAGGATTCCTTGAACCCAGGATGGCCAGGCTGCAGTGAGCCACAATCGCACCACTGCACTCCAGCCTGGGTGGTGCAGTGAGACCCTGTCTCAAAAACACAACAAAACACCCCGGCTCTGCAGGTGGGGGTGGGGAGCCTTCATCTGTAGCATTTGCCAATTTCCACGGTATGAACATTCCCACCATTGCTAATTTCAAGCTACCAAGGTGATGTCACAAGGCATTTTTGCCCCCCATTACACGGTAATTTTAGTGTGCAGCTACAATAGACGTAAGTAACCTCAGGATCACAGATAATAGCAAATGTGGTAAGGTAATTAGGACATGACGAGTATGTATTACCTTTAATATAATTTATTTAATTGTATGTTTGCCTAATTTAATTTTTAATAATGGCTGTGTTTAACAACCAGTTCCAAAATTCCTGAGACATAACCATCAGCTCCATCCAGCCAGATCCAGCGCGCTGCTGTTTTAGAAGGGGAAACTGAGGCAGAAACTGAAGTGGTCAGCCAGGCACAGGACCCTTCCCAAAACCGTGTGATTCCCAGGCTAGCACTATGTAATGCCCGTTTTTCTTTCATCCCATCCTGGTCCACAGAGTATGGGTAGACCCCACAGGGCTGTGTGGCCTCCGAGAGGCCCTTGCCCTCTCTGGTCTCAGTCCGGCCCGCATTAGGAGTGGCCGTGCCCTGCAGGTGAATACCTGCACAGGTTCCTTCACACCTGCTTCAGCCCTGCCCGTGAGCAACACAGGGATCCTCCCTCTCACTTTACAGACTGGGAAAGTGAAGCCCAGAAAGGGCGAGCTTGCGCCGGGTCACACAGGTGGACAGAGAGGGTCCCCACATGCCAGCCAGGGTGCAGAGGAGACGACACTGCAGCCCCAACCTGGGGGTCTGGAGCTATGTGCGTGGGCGGAGGCGGCCTGACCAGGAGGTCACTGAGCTCTCTGCAGTGGCCAAGCCCCGCACACCATCCCCTTCGCCCACCCCACCCTAAGGCCTCGGAGGGGAGAGCTTCTGCCCCCACCCCCCACTGGGGAGAGAATGTGGGGGGGGCGGGGGAGGGACAATGTGGCAGCGCCTCTGGGGGCGTCTCTCTGGCTCAGTCCCTTTATCTCCATCTCTTCACAGATCTCTGCGTCTCTGTGTCTCTTTGTCTCTCCCTGTGTGTGTGTGTGGGGGGGGGGGGACTCGCTGAGTCTTTGTCCCTCTGCGTCGCTGGGTCTCTCTGCCTCGGTCTCCCCGTTCATCTCCTTGCGCCTCTCTCTCCGCCCTTTTGTAACTCATCTCTCTCGCTCTTTGTGTCTCTCTGTCTCCACGTCTCTCGATCTCTCTCTCTCTGCGTCTCTGGCGCTCTGCCCCGGACTCTCTCTCCCCTTTTCTCCTCTGCGGTGCGTCTCTCCTCTCGGGCGAGAGCCACCTCCCCGCCGGCGCGCCCAGACCCGCCTCCGCCCCCGGAGCCCCCGGCGCCCGGGACCAGCCCGGGCCTGTGCCTTTAAGGGCCGGCGGCGGGAGGCGGGGTCCCGGCGCCCCGCCCTGCCACCCCTCCCCCTGACGTCCCTTCCTCCCTCCCCAGCCCCTCCACCGCCTCCCTCCGCCGCCGCCTGGGCCGGCTCCGCGCCCCCTCTGCGGCCCCCGCCCGCCCACCCGCCGCCCCCATGGCGCCCGGGGTCCCCGCTGCACGGGGCCACTAGGACCCTCGGCGTCCCTTCCCCTCCCCCGCCCTGCCCCCTCTCCCGGGGCGCGGACCCGGGCGTTCTCGGCGCCCAGCTTTTGAGCTCGCCTCCCCAGGCCGGCGGGGGGGGAGGGGAAGAGAGGGGACCCTGGGACCCCCGCCCCCCCCACCCGGCCGCCCCTGCCCCCTCGGGACCAGGAGAAGATGTCTTCGCGGACGGCGCTGGCCCCGGGCAACGATCGGAACTCGGACACGGTGAGTGGGGCCCAGCCCCTTGGGAAGCCCTGGCTGGGTCCGGCCGCCAGACCTTTCGCCCCGCTGTGCCCCTCGCCCCGGGAGCCCCTACCCTGGTTTCCAGGGCTCGACCCGGCTCGTCACCTCTCGACCCCTTCCGGACTTCCAGGCCTCTCGGCCCTCCCCACCTTTTCCAGCCCAGCCCGACCCCTGGGGGCGCCGCTCTCTCGGGACCCCTCTCTTGTCCCCGTGCAGACCGCTTCCGCTCGGGTCTCTTCCCTCCAGGAAGCCCCCTCCCCTGCTTCCAGGAGCCCCTCCCTTCTCTCGCGCCTGCTAAGCCCCTTCCTCTCCAGGCCGTCCGCGTCCGACACCTCGCCCCCTCCCGGATTTGCAGGGCCCCTGACCCCCCAAGGCCCGACGCTGGCTCTCACAGCAGGGCCTGGCCCAGTCCTGCCTCTGGCTCCGGCCTTCCGTGTCTGGGGCTGGGTGCTGGCCCCCCAGCAGTCCCCCTCCTCTCCTTCCCAGCCCTCTGCCCCTCCAGGACCCACCCGCGGCGCCTGTGGGCAGCCCCTGTCAGGAAGCTGGTTTCCACCTCTCCTGGGCCCCGGCCCTTTTCTGGCTTCTTCAAGGTCTCTCCCTTCCCAGGCCTGGTCCCCATTTTCCCAACAGCCCTATCCCTAGATCCCAGCACCCCGGGGCCCCCAGATGCCACCTGGACCCTTTCTGGTCTCTTCCCCTCCCAGGAAGCCTTGGCCTCCAACTTCCAGGTCCCCACCTCGCCCAGGCTCCTATTTCTAGGCCCTGGACCAGTCTGACTCCAGGCCTCATCCGCCCTCTGTCAACTTCTCAGCTTCAGGCAAGCCCCTTCCCCAACCCCCAACCTCTGGATGCCCTGCTAGGCCAGACTCAGGCCCCTTCCGCACAAGCCACCATCCTTTCTCCTGCCTTAGCACTTCCCCCTTCCTTGCTGGGGACCTGGCCTCCAAAGGAAGCCCCCTCCCCAGCTTCAGAGGCCTTCCTCAGCCACAGGGCCTGGCCCTAGATCCTTCTTCCAGAAAACTCCTGGACCTGAAGCCTCTCATCTTGCCCTGGCTGCAAGCCCTCTTCCTTTGGGGTCAGTCTGCTGGAAGCCTTCTCCCCAAATTTCTAGACCCCATGACCTCCCCCAAGGCTCAGGCTTTATCCTGCTGAGCTGCTCCTTGCCCAAGTACCCCCTACCGCATACTCCCAGGCCCCCAGAGACCCTTCTCTAGTTTCAAGGACTGCTCCCAGAAACCCCCTTCACTGTTTCCTAGGAGCTTCCCCAAGCCCCAGGGATTGCTGGTCTCTGACTTCCGCTGCCCCCATGGTTATGTCACTTTCTACCATCCCCAGGCGCCCCCTGCCCTGACACTGCTTCCCAGACAGTCCCAGGGAGGCCCCTCCCATCTCCTGTGTCTGGTCACTCATCACCTCCAAAGACCTGCCCACCACCAGTCCTAGACTTCTCCCCAGCTGGGATCTTCATCCCTTCCTCCAAATCCTTCTGCCAGCTCCCTGCCCCCTTCCCCCCATTTCCCTCACCTCCAGAAGACCCCCCCACCTCCTGTGATCAGAGAGATTTATGTCTGCCCCTTCCTCATCTTGCAGATCCCTCCCTCACAGAGACCACTCCCCATCATCACTATAGGAGAACTGCAATTTGGAGTCTAATAAAATACCACCACCTCCGTTCCTCAGTCACTCCAATCCCCAGTGAGGGGCCAGGCACTCCACAGCTGTGGGCCCCAGTGCCGGCCCGGCCAGCTTGTTTGCCTGTGTCCTCAGACAGCTGGTTCTTCCTTTCTGAGCCTCAGTTTCTTGCCCTGGAAAATAGGGGTGACCGCTTGAGTGCCTCCGAGGCTTACTCGATTCGGGCGAAGCCTGGCACCTAGGAAGCACTCCACAAATGCCAGCTGCTATTGTGGCTGTGGGTATGAGTCAGACGGCCCGTGGATTCTCGGCTCAGGGCTGTCGGTAGTTGTGGAGTGAGCCTGCAGATTCGCTCCCAGCTTGGAGCCTCAGTTTCCTTGTCTGTGCGTCGGATTGATGATGGCATCTCCCCATTAGGGATGTTTTGCAGGAGCTGATGATATGATGTGACTAAGGTGCACAGAGCCTGGCATGTGTGTCGGCTGTCGTGGTTATTAGTATTACTTTAATTGTTCAGATAAACTTGGGTTCACATCCTGTTTCTTGGGACACATCCTGTCCCTCCCTAGCTGTGTGACCTCAGGCAAGTAACCTCACCTCTCTGAGCCTTGCTTTCCTTGTCTGTTAAGTGGAACGCCTGATGACGCCTAGCTGTTCCCTGGGTTGTTGAGACGTGTGCCCGGTGCGGATTTGAGGACGGCTAATCCCCTTTTCTCCTCCGATTCTTGTCACTAAGATCTGCCTGTCAGTCCTGGCCGGGAGTCACCTGCCTGCCTCTGGAATGGGAGGTGGCAGCCCCCTCTTTGCTACCTGGTTACCATGGCCACAGCCACGTGGGGTCATGCTACCCCACCCCAAGTTCCAGGGCCCCCCACCAGGGGGCCAGCCTCCCCAGGTTCCCTAGCAACAGGCCCTGGTGTTGGGGTGCCAGCTGGGCGAGAGGGAGCCAGGCAAGCTGGTGGTAAGGGACAATTTTAGCACCCACCCCCGGCCCCCAGGGGCTTTGTCACCCAGCTACCCCTCGAAGGGGTCCCTCATCCTTGCTGCCTTCAGCGTGGTGCCATCCCACCTCCAGCTGGCCGCCCTGGCGCTGCCTGACGGGGGTTCTTTTCCAGGTCCTTAACACAGTGGGGATCGGAGGCCTTATCTCCAGGATCTCCACCTGCCTCCCCGGTCTCCCCTGGGAGGAAGCCTGGGGCGGTGGGGAAGCGAACAGGAGGAGTCAGGAGGCTGGGGTTCGCATCCCAGCACTGCTCCATCTGCCCTGTGACCTTGGGGGAGGGACTCCCCCCTGCCTGAGTCTGGAGACTGCAGATCACAACTGGACCCACATTGGAGGCCAGGGTGAGGTCAAGGCGGGCAGTGGCAGACATGTGGTTAGGGCCCTGGCCGCGGTGGTTGGAACTGCCCAGCCATGGGGAGATTGTCTTTCTGCCCCTGTGAATGGACTGTGTAACCTTCACATGGCACCTTCCCTCTCCAAGGCTGTTTCTCCCCTGGGAGCCTGGAGTTGCTCCCTGGGCTACCTCGGGAATTAAGTGTAGGCGAGGCGCCCATTTGCACAGGACGTGGCCCGTAGCGTGAGCTGCTTCATAGAAATGGTTCATGACCCGGGGTGGTAGCTCATACCTCTAATCCCAACACTTTGGGAGACCCGGCAGGAGGATGGCTTGAGTCCAGGAGCTGAAGACCGGCCTGGGCAACATAGGAAGACTCCATCTCTACTGAAAAATCACAAAATTAGCTGTGCGCGATGGTGCAGCCCTGTGATCCCAGCTACTCGGGAGGCTGAGGTGGGAGGGTTGTTTGCTTGAACCCAGGCACTTAAGGTTGCAGTGAGACTTGATTGCACCACTGCACTTCAGCTTGGGCAACAGAGCAAGACCTGTCTCAAAAAACAAAAAAACACAAAAGGTTCAGGTGTGGTATTATGACAGTGAAAAGCATCAAGACTAGTGGGAACCATCTGGGCGGGGTGGCTCACGCCTGTAATCCCAACACTTTGGGAGGCTGAGGTGGGTGGATCACCTAAGGTCAGGAGTTCGAGTCCAACCTGACCAGCACAGTGAAACCCCATCTCTATTGAAAATACGAAAATTAGCCACGATGGTGGGCACCTGTAATCCCAGCTACTCGGGAGGCTGAGGCAGGAGAATTGCTTGAACCCCGGCGGCTGAGGTTAACGGTGAGCTGAGATCATCCCACTGCACTCCATCCTGGGCAACAAGAGCAAAACTCCGTCTCAAAAAAAAAAAAAAAAAAAAAAAGACTGGTGGAAACTGTCTCGGTTCAGATCTTGCGTCTGGGCCTCAGTTTCCCCTCCGTAAAGTGGAAATGATAGTGTGGTAATGGCCTTATATAGCATCAGTGACCTGCATTAATTGTTACTTGTCATTGCTATCAAGTAGTCCAGCGGTGACTCTGCGAGACCCGGCCCCCAGCCCTCAGCCTCCTGGCCTTTCTTCCTCCCCTCCCATGTTCCTTCTGCTTCCCACTCCAGCCTTGGGAAGGACACAGACAGAAATGCCTTGGCAGGGGCCTCAGGTGCCCTGACCCCAGCCCTGAAAGGGAGACACAGTCCCTGGGGCTTCCAATCAGGGCAGGGCAGCTCGGAGCAGGCAGGTGACTTGCAGGGGGAGAGAGGCCAGGGAGGGACAGGACAGTAGGAACAGAACATGGGGAGGAGAGAAGCCACAGCGTGGGAGACAGCAAGTCAGGGCGCTGTTCAAGCCTTGGGTGTTTCAGGGGGCGGCAGAAGCAACAATGTTTCCCGTGGAAGGAGGATACGGATGGAACCAGGACTCAGGGCCAGTGAAAGACTTGGTTACATGGCAGGGCGAGGTGGCTCTCGCCTGTAATCCCAGCACTTTGGGATACCAAGGCAGTTGGATCACCTGAGGTCAGGAGTTCGAGACCGGCCTGACCAACATAATGAAACCCTGTCTCTACTAAAAATACAGAATTAACCAGGTGTGGTGGCACATGCCTGTAATCACAGCTACTCGGGAGGCTGAGGCAGGAGAATGGCTTGAATCCAGGAGGTAGAGGTTGCAGTAAGCTGAGATCGCACTACTGCATTCCAGCCTGGGCAACAAGAGCGAAACTCTGACTCCAAAAAAAAAAAAAAAAAAATACTTGGTTACAATGTTTGGAGTCCAATCTGGGGCAACAGTAATTGGAATAAAATGTTAGGGACATTCCACTGGGAATCAAATGTTGACATTTGCTTTGAAGTAGAATTTGGGGGCTGGAGAGGGGACAGTGGATGGGTGAATACACGCAGGTCCAGTGGTGGTAGAGGAGGAGCCTCGGGTCCAGATTGAGGTCAGCGTTGATTGGGGTTGAGAGCAGCCTCATTTAGAGCAGAATATTGTGGAGGTGATCCAGGCTCCAGGCCAGGCACATCCTGCTTTTTCACGCTTTGCCTTATTGAACTTCACGGACACTGTGTTTTCTACAAATTAAAGGTTTCTCACAACCCTGTGTTGAGCAAGCCTGTGGGCAATGTTTCCAGCAGCTGGTGCACAAGTCATGTCTCTGGGTCACATTTTGGTAACTGACGAAAATTTCAAACTTTTTCATTATTATAATAATATCTGCTATGGTGATCTGTGGTCAGTGATGTTTTTCTTTTTTTCTTTTCTTTTTTTTTTGGAAACAGGGTCTCACTCTGTTGCCCAGGCTGGAGTGCAATGGCATGATCAAGGCCCACTGCTGCAGCCTCGACCTCATGGGGCTCAAGCGATCTTCCCATCTCAGCCTCCCCAGTAGCTGGGCCTGTAGGCATATGCCACCATGCCTAGCTAATTTTTTATTTTTATTTTTTAATTTCTTCTAGAGACAGGCGTCTCACTTCATTGCCCAGGCAAATGAAGTGAGACACCTGTCTCTAGAAAAAACTCAAACTCCCTGGCTTCAAGTGATCCTCCAGCCTCGTCAATGATTTTTTTTTTTTCCCTCTCTGAAATGGAGTCTCGCTCTGTCGCCCAGGGTGGATGGTAGTAGTACCGTCTCGGCTCACTGCAGCCTCCGCCTCCCGGGTTCAAGCAATTCTCCCGCCTCAGCCTCCGGAGTAGCTGGGATTACCGGCGTGTGCCACCACACCTGGCTAATATTTTTGTATTTTTGGTACAGACAGGATTTCAGCATATTGGCAGGCTGGTCTCAAACTCCTGATCTTGTGATCTGCCTGCCTCGGCCTCCCAAAGTGCTGGGATTACAGGTGTGAGCCACTGCGCCTGGCCATTATTTTTTTTTAATTGTGATTCACTGAAGGTTCGAAGGATTGTTAGCAGCTTTTAACAATAAAGTATTGCAAAATTAAAGTATGTACCTTGTTTTGTAGATGTAATGCTATTATTGTATACTTAACAGACTACAGTGTGGTATATACATACTGGTTTTTTTGTTATGAGACGGAGTCCCACTCCGTCGCACAGGCTGGAGTGCAGTGGTGGGATCTCAGCCCACTGCAACCTCCCCCTTCCCTGGTTTGATTGATTCTCCTGCCGCAGCCTCCCAAGTACCTGGGATTACAGCCATGCGTCACCAGGCCCAGCTAATTTTTGTATATTTTGTAGAGACGGGGTTTCCCCATGTTGACCAGGCTGGTCTCAAACTCCTGACCTCAGGTGATCCGCCCGCCTTGGCCTCCCAAAGTGCTGGGATGACAGGCATGAGCCACCTCGCCTGGCCCATATTTTTTATATGCACTGAGAATCCAAAAAATTCATGTGCCTTGCTTTTTTGCAATATTTGCTTTATTATGGTAGTCTGGAGCCAAACTTGTGGTATCTCTGAGGTGTGCATGTATTTAGAAAAGGAGGTGGGAGGCCCGTCCCGGTGGCTCATGCCTGTAATCCCAGCACTTTGGGAGGGTGAGGCAGGTGGATCACCTGAGGTCAGGAGTTTGAGACCAACCTAGCCAACATGGTGAAACCACATCTCTACTAAAAGTACAGAAATCAGCCAGGTGTGATGGTGCACGTCTGTAATCCCAGCTACTTGGGAGGCTGAGGCAGGAGAATGGCTTGAACCCAGGAAGTGGAGGTTGCAGTCTGCTGAGATTGCGCCCCTGCACTCCAGCTTGGGTGACAGAGTGAGACTCTGTGCCCCTCCCCCAAAAAAACAAAGACAAGGAAGTTGGGGGTAGTCAGACTACAGTGAGGGTTGAAGAAGGGGCCTGATGCCTGGGCCCCAGATGCTGCAGATTTGGGGGGCCCAGGGGTTTTTGTTCTTGGAGGCATCTTTTTGTAGAGAAAGATGAAGGATGCAATGATGTCATGGCTCTCGGTGGCCTGAGTTTGAAAAGGGCCACAAAGGGACTGGGCAAGATGGCCCATGCCTGTAATCCCAGCACTTTGGGAGGCCGAGGCAGGTGGATCACCTGAGGTCAGGAGTTCCAGACCAGTCTGACCAACATGGAGAAACCCCGTCTCTATTAAAAATACAAAAATTGCCAGGCATGGTGGCGCAGGCCTGTAATCCCAGCTACTCGGGAGGCTGAGGCAGGAGAATTGCTTGAATCCGGGAGGCACAGGTTGTGGTGAGCTGAGATCGCGCCATTGCACTCCAGCCTGGCCAACAAAAGTGAAACTCCATTTTAAAAAAAAGGGCCACAAAGGGGCCGGTGGCCAGGCCTCAAGTTAACTGCACCAGCCCACGGGTGCCATGGAAGGTGGGATTGGATAGCTGCTCATGCCCCGTCTCCCCCGCCCAGCATGGCACGTTGGGCAGTGGCCGCTCCTCGGACAAAGGCCCGTCCTGGTCCAGCCGCTCGCTGGGTGCCCGTTGCCGGAACTCCATCGCCTCCTGTCCCGAGGAGCAGCCCCACGTGGGCAACTACCGTCTGCTGAGGACCATCGGGAAGGGCAACTTTGCCAAAGTCAAGCTGGCTCGGCACATCCTCACTGGTCGGGAGGTGAGTATGGGCATGGGGTGGGGCTCGGGGCAGGTTCCTGCGGGACCGGGGCTTCCTGGGAGGTTGATACAGGTCGGGATTGGCCCTGGGCTTGCTTTACAGCCTCAGAGAGAGTCCCTGACTCTCTCTGGGACGGATCCCAATATCTCCGATTTTCCCAGAACAACCCCCGTGGGAAAAGAGAACCAATTTCGCCGGGCGCGGTGGCTCACGCCTGTAATCTCAGCACTTTGAGAGGCCGAGGCGGGCAGATCACCTGAGGTCAGGAGTTCAAGACCAGCCTGGCCAACATGGTGAAACCCCGTCTTTAAAAAAAAAGAAAAAAAAAAAAGAGAGAATCAATTTCAGATATCCCTGAAATTGCCAAGAAATCTCAGATCACACGCAGCCTGATATGTTGCATTGCTAAGGATGCATGTGGCTTTTGTCGATAAACCCGATCTATGGCTGGATGCCGTGGCTCACACCTGTAATCCCAGCACTTTGAGAGGCCAAGGTAGGAGGATTGCTTGAGCTCAGGAGTTTGAGACCAGCCTGGGCAACATGGCGAGACTTAGTCTCTACTAAAAAAAAAATAAAATTTGTAAAAAAGGAGCTGGGTGTGGTGATGCATGTCTGCGGTCCCAGCTACTTGGGAGGCTGAGGTGGGAGGATCACTTGAGCCCACGAGTTCCAGGCTCTGGTGAGCTGTGACCTCACCACTGTACTCCAGCCTGGGTGACAGAGTGAGATGCATCTCAAAAAATAAAAATAAAATCAAAGAGGGCTGGGCATGGTGGCTCACACCTATAATCCAGTACTTTCAGAGGGCGAGGCAGGTGGATTGCTTGAGATCAGGAGTTTGAGATCAGCTTGACCAACATGGTAAAACCTTGTCTCTACTAAAAATACAAAAATTAGCTGGGCATGGTGGCACATGCCTATAATCTCAGCTACTGAGGAGGCTGAAGCCGGAGTATCACCTGGACCTGGGAGGTGGAGGTGGCGGTGAGCAGAGATCATACCACTGCACTCCAGCCTGCCTGACAGAGCAAGACTGTGTCTCAAAAAAAATAAAAAAGGCTGGGCATGGTGGCTCACGCCTGTAATCCCAGCACTTTGGGAGGCCAAGGCAGGCAGATCACCTGAGGTCGGGAGTTCAAGACCAGCCTGGCCAACACAGTAAAACCCCATCTCTACTAAAAATACAAAAATGAGCTGGGTGTGATGGCAGGCACTTGTAATCTAGCCAATCAGGAGACTGTGGCAGAAGAATCTCTTGACCCTGGGAGGCAGAGGTTGCAGTGAGCTGAGATAGTGCCACTGCACTCCAGCCTCCGCAACAGGAGTGAGATTCCACCTCAAAAATAATAATAATAATAATATTTTTTTTTTTAAAGTAGGCCGGGTGCGGTGGCTCATGCTTTTAATCCCAGCACTTTGGGAGGCCAAGGTGAGTGGGTCACCTGAGGTCAGGAGTTCGAGACCAACCTGGCCAACATGGTAAAACCCCATCTCTACTAAAAAAAAAATACAAAAATTAGCTGGGCGCGGTGGCGCATTCCTGTAATCCCAGCCACCTGGGAGGCTGAGGTAGGAAAATCACTGGAACCTGGGAGGCAGAGGCTGCAGTGAGCTGAGATTGTGCCACTGCACTCCAGCCTGGGTGATAGAGCAAGACTCTGTCCTAAAAAATAATAATAAAAATAAAAAAGTAGGCCGGGCACGGTGGCTCAAGCCTGTAATCCCAGCACTTTGGGAGGCTAAGGCGGGTGGATCACGAGGTCAAGAGATCAAGACCATCCTGGTCAACATGGTAAAACCTCGTCTCTACTAAAAATACAAAAAACATTAGCTGGGCATGGTGGCGCGTGCCTGTAATCCCAGCTACTCAGGAGGTTGAGGCAGGAGAATTGCCTGAACCCAGGAGGCGGAGGTTGCGGTGAGCCGAGATCGCGCCATTGCACTCCAGCCTGGGTAACAAGAGCGAAACTCCGTCTCAAAAAAAAAATAAAAAATAAAAAAGTAAAATAAACCGAAGCTGCCTCTGTTTTAAGGATGGTCTTTGATTCCTTGAAATCTTCCTGTGATCTGGAGAACACAGCAGGTTTATTCATGTTGTGTTCTCAGTTACACAGAGCGGGCATTTGTGCTGAGTATGGCAACATTATTGCAAAAAGGGTCCACAGAGGCCTTGCAACCTAGATATGAGGCCTCTAACTCACTTAGAGGAAAAAGGGTGGTGGGCGATTTCATGATTTCCTCCCCACCCCTCCTTCAACTTCAGATAAATGATTGAAAGGAATTCTCCTGCTTTGGATGGACTCTCCCCTCATGCTGTCCACACCATTCACACAAAAGACACCAGGCCCTGATGGTCTTACAGGCAAATTCTACCAGATGTTCACATTTTATGCCAGTTATTCCAGAGACTAAAGAAAGAACTTCCACTGCCTGACTGGTTTTTATGCGCTAGTTTGTCCTTAAGAGCAAAACCAGACAAGAAACAAAATTACAGGCCAATCTGGTGGACGTAGGTACAAAAATCTCATGCAAAATATTAACAAATAGAACCTGGCAAATCAATCAAAGAAAGCTGCGTGATGACAAAGCTGGCTTTTTCTCGGGAATGCAAAGTTCTTTTCCCTCTGACAATTTATTCATGTACTTCACCACATTCTCAGACTGAAGGAGAGAAACCATATGATCGTCTCAATATTGGCATAAAAAGTGTTTGACAAAATTTTTAAAAACCCGTTCGTGAGAATATGAGGAAAGCTCAGGGGCCCTCTCTTTCATGAAGAACACATGGTTCCCTATATGTGGGTCTGGCTCCAGGGGTTTCCGAGAGGGACCAGCCTCTAAGGAAACAAGGCCTCCAAAGGGAAGAATTCTTTTCTTTTTTGAGATGGAGTCTTGCTCCGTCACCCCGACTGGAGTGCAATGGCACCATCTCGGTTTACTGCAACCTCTGCCTCTGAGTTCAAGCAATTCTCCCTCAGCTTCCTGAGTTGCTGGGACTACAGGTGCCCGCCACCACACCCAGCTAACTTTCGTATTTTTAGTAGAGATAGGGTTACACCATGTTGGCCGGGCTGGTCTCAAACTCTTGACCTCAGGTGATCTGCCTACCTTGACCTCCCAAAGAGTGGGGATTACAGGCATGAGCCGCCACGCCTGGCCGGAAGAATTCTTTAATCCCGTGGATTTGGGACCTCTTGGGGAGTAGCCTCAAAACCCTTTGGGAAAACTATAAACCTAGGGCTGAATTAAGAGTTTTAAAGGCCAGGCATGGTGGCTCACTCCTGTAACCCCAGCACTTTGGGAGGCCAAGGTGGGTGGATCACCTGAGGTCAGGAGTTCGAGGCCAGCCTGGGCAACATGGAGAAGCCCCTTCTCTACTAAAAAATGCAAAATTAGCCGGGTGTGGTGGCGCATGCCTGTAATCCCAGCTGCTCTGGAGGCTGAGGCAGGAGAATCACTTGAACCTTGGAGGTGGAGGTTGCAGTGAGCTGAGATGGTGCCCCTGCACCCCAGCCTGGGCAACAAGAGCGAAACTCCATCTCAAAAAAAAAAAAGTCGTAAGCTTTAAGAGGTAGATTCTATCAGGCTGCGTAAGTTTAGATCTGGTCCATAACTTAGTAGCCATGTAACTTTGGCCAAGTGGGTGAACTGCTCTGTGCCTCAGTTTCCCTACTGGTAAAGCGAGGATAATCCTATTAGCCAGATATTGGTGGCGTGTGCCTGTGGTCCCAGCTACTCAGGAGGCTGAGGTGGGAGGATCGGTTGAGCCCAGGAGGGCGAGGCTGTAGTGAGCTACGATCACACTACGCAACACCACTGTACTCTACCCTGGTGACAGAGCGAGACTCTGCCTCCAAAACAAACAAAAAGTGCGGGGGAATGGGAGGGATAATCTTAGGTTGTTGTGAGGACAAAGAGTTTGAATTTGTAAAGCACACAGGCCAGGCAGTGAGGGCTTAGTGCCTGTTAGCCAGTTGTTCTTTATTCCATGAGTCCTTTGTTCAAAACAAAGATGTGATGGGCGAGTGATCCCCTCAAGTCTTGGCCATGCCCCCATCCACTCAGCCACCTCTGGAGCAGCCTCAGCCAGGCCCTGCTGTGGAATAAGGATGTTTCTCTGCATAAGTGGGGGTGGCAGTGGAGACAGGACAGCTTGTGCAAAGGCCCGGAGGCCCCGAGATCCTCTCCACTGGGAATGGCCCAGAGTAGGGGCTCTACCAGGAGATGGGGCAAAGGAAGGGTATCCCAGGGCCATCTGAGCTGGGCCAGGCTGGAGTACAGTGGCACCATCTCAGGTCACTGCAACCTTTGCCTCCCAGGCTCAAGCAGTTCTCCCACCTCAGCCTCCCGAGTAGCCGGACTGCACCCAGCTAGTTTTTGCATTTTTAGTAAAGACAGGGTTTCGCCATGTTGACCAGTCTGGTCTTGAACTCCTGACCTCAAGTGATCCTCCCACCTCGGCCTCCCAATGTGCTGGGATTGCAGGCCTGAGCCACTGAGCCCAGCGGGGCCTGTGGTGCCTTGACCTTCCTTCCTCCTTTCCTTTCCTCTAGGTTGCCATCAAGATCATCGACAAAACCCAGCTGAACCCCAGCAGCCTGCAGAAGGTGAGGCTGGGGAGATGAGGGAGTGCAGGAGCCAGGCTCCCAGGATAGCCGGGTGACCCCCGACCCCTCCTTCAGGGGGTCGGCCTGGGAAAGGATCCCCCAAGCCACCCATCCTCACTCTCCTCTGTCTTCCTTTCCGGCCACGCCCAGCTGTTCCGAGAAGTCCGCATCATGAAGGGCCTAAACCACCCCAACATCGGTGAGGAGGGCACGGGAGCCAGTGTAGGGGCAGGCCACCAACAGGGACACTTGGAAAGGAGTTGGGGGGTGGTCAATGGCAGTGGTTAGAATAGGTGGAGACCTGCCAGGCATGGTGACCTACACCTGTAATCCCAGCACTTTGGGAGGCCCAGGCAGGTAGATCCCTTGAGGTCAGGAGTTTAACACCAGCCTGACCAACATGGTGAAACCCCATCTTTACTAAAAATACAAAAACTAGCTGGGCATGGTGGCAAGCGCCTGTAGTCCCTGCTGCTCAGGAGACTGAGGCAGGAAAGCTGCTTGAGCCGGGGAGGCGGAGGTTGCAGTGAGCCAAGATCGCACCACTGCACTCCAGCATGGACAATAACACGAGACTTTTTCTCAAAAAAAAAAAGTTAGAGACCTGGCTTTTCATAGTTGGGTCACTGCTGTGTGACCTTGGGCAAGTCACTTAACCTCTCTGAGCCTGTGTTTTGTCTTCTGGAGTACGGGTGATAAGAGGGCCTGTTACCAGGCCATTGTGAGGACTGACTAAGGTTGTGCGTTTAGGTGCTTAGTTTGGGCTGAGCGATGGGACCTGGTCTGATTATTTCCACCAGCATCAACATCCTCACTGCCATTATCATTAGGCAGAGCGGGGAGAGCGGGGTCTTTGGTGAGAGAAGTGGAGTTTAGCTCCGCCTGGATGTGGCTGCCGCATTTGTTCATTCATTCATTCATTTACTCAGTAACTATTGATTGAGTGGCTGCTATGTGCTGGACCCTGGGGACACAGCAGGGAAGAAAACAAGACACAAATCCCTGGCCTCGTGGAGCTGACATTCTTGTGAGAGAGAAAGTGGAAAAGGTGGTAGAGGGGGGCTGAGGAATTTGGAAGATCTTGCTGTCAATAGGGAGCCATTGAGTGTTCTTGAGTGTGGGGGGAGGGGGCGGGTTATGGTTGGCATATTTGCATAGTTACTGAGTACAGGTCAGGAGGGGCCCTTTCTCCCTAACGCCCCGCACTGCCCCCGACCATTGCAGTGAAGCTCTTCGAGGTGATTGAGACTGAGAAGACGCTGTACCTGGTGATGGAGTATGCCAGTGCCGGTGAGCCACCCGCCCCCTCCGCCCCGTCCCCCCTGCCGCCCTCCCCGCCCCTGCACCTGACCCTGACCCCGCTCGGCCTCTGCCCTGCAGGAGAAGTGTTTGACTACCTCGTGTCGCACGGCCGCATGAAGGAGAAGGAAGCTCGAGCCAAGTTCCGACAGGTCGGGGCAGGGCTGAGGGGGGGGCTGGGGGCTGCCTGGGTCCCTGGGAGGGTGTCCCCTGACCTGCGGGCGGGGCTTAAGTCTGGGCAGGGGTGAAGGTGCAGAGTTGGGTGTCCTGGGTGTGCAGTGGCCCAGATGTGAGGGCATCTGGATGTAGGTATGCAGGTGCCCCGTTGGGTGAGTGAGAGGGTGTTTGGGCATGAAGGCACCCCGGTGTGCAGGTGTTGCATGTGGAAGGCACATGGGTGTGTCCAGCACGTGGGTGTGTGGGCGAGGGGGCACCAGGTTGCCAGGTGTGAGTGTGGCGGAGTGGTGTGAAAGATGTATGGGAAGTAAGTATGTGGGTGCCCAGGTGTGCAGGGAAGAGAGTGTAGGGCACCCCAGGTAGATGGGCAAGAGGGGGCTAGGGGGTGGCTGTGTAAGTTTGTAGGTGCCAGGGTGTGCTGATACATGGGTGTCCATGTGTGTGAGTACCCAGGTGTGTGATAGCAAGGACACCCAGGTATCTAAGAGTGTGGAAGTGGGCCATGGGTGGAGTAAGAGGACTTGCAGGTGTGAGGGCGCCCAGGTGTGCGGGTGAGATGTGCAGGTGTGAGGGCGCCCAGGTGTG